GATTCGAACCCGCGACCCTTCGGTTGCGAGTCGAGCGCCCTAACCACCTGGCCATCCTGGGCCTTTGCAGGCAGTGTGATACCTTAATGAAAAAATGTGCCGAACTGATAAAGATTCCTGTTTGTTTTTTGTCAAGCACAAAGCTACACATTGGGCTATCTTGTTTGTTTCTTGTTAAGCACAAAGTTACACACTAGACTATCTGTGCTGTGCACAAACAAAGGGTATCGAAATCTGTATTTTACTGTTATAAGCCTTCAAACCTACTGCTGAGCCACTGGGGGAGGGGGTTACCGACAAGGATCCTTGTACATCAGAAAAGCGTGTTGGTAATATTAATGAAAACATCCTGCAGAAAAAATAATCATTATTTCTTAGAGGTTCTTAACATATTTTCCATAGGTTTCCTTCCACTTTTTCTTCACAAAACAAGGCTTAAGCCCATCTGTTTGCCACCCCCTTCGCCTCCCTAATTTCAGAAGTCTGAAGTCACCATTGTAGAACGGAGAATGACTGATGTATGTTTTGCAGGATTAAAACCTTAAAAAAATCGATACTTTTCGGTTAAAATATTAGGGAGAAAATCCTCAGTATATTAAAAAAAATTGAAGGAGGAATGTCCCCCCGCCCCCTGTAAATTACCCCTATGACTAACACTAATGAACTTACATGCTAGAAGAATCACTAATCAGGATTGTGCAATCTATTTAGCTAAAAACGTTTTTAATTTATAACAATCAATTACAAACATAAAATGTACATAACTTTATTAGAAAGGCCCCCCCAGTGGCACAGCGGCATGTCTGCGGACTTACAACGCTAGAAACCGGGTTTCGATACTCGTGGTGGGCAGAGCACAGATAGCCCATTGTGTAGCTTTGTGCATAAAGTCAACACAGTATTTTCTACAAATAGGTTGGATGGATGGTTTGTAGTTAAGCGCTAAGCTGGCTATCTGTGCTGTGGTCACCACGGGTATCGAAACCCGGATTTTAGCGTTATAAGCCTTCAGATTTACCGTTGAGCCACTATGCGATGCTACAAGTAGGTAAAGTTACAAAAGTCCAAAGTATATTGAATATTTAGTACTCTGATTACCAAGTGGTATTCTTACTATTAACATTTTTGTCACTTCGTGACGGTGGCTTTTATTTCTAGCTTTTACCTTCTCCGTTTCCATCCACCTTTGAAAGTGCGTTACCTTGACGACTTGCTTGCTTACCCGCATTAATAATGAAAATTGACGATGTAGCTTTCAGGCTTCGATGTCACGTGACCTCGAGTAAAATCAATCCTACTCCATTGCCGGTCAGTGCACCGTGCATAGAATATTTATCACAAATAATATACGTGGGAACTGTTTTTCGTCGTCTCTAATCTGTCTAGGCAGTTTCAAGTTAATTTCATAATTTTATAACATCTCTATTCTATAAAATGTTTAGGAACTGGTAGTGTATGTTTTTCAAGACAGGGAATTTTACCCAACTGTTTCTTTAATCAGTAAGCAATAATTTTCGTATGTAATCGAAAAGTTCTCACTAATTACGAAATTTTATATCGTGTGACGTGATGAAGAACCAGGTAGAATAGCAGTACCAAACGTAAACAGAGAAACCAAATGTGTATTTTTAGCCGCTACATAGCGGCTCATATAATGACTTTTAGCTCATAGCTCCATCATCTCTTGATTAATTTGAGATCTAGTTACAGTTTCGGACTCAGGAAATCAAACCTTTTCGATTGATATATTTGACCACGCCCAAGGTCTCATAGATTAATTTACTCTAATCCTGCCTAAAACAATTTCAATTTGAGGGTAGGCTGGTAGAGATCCTGATGAGTATTAAAATCGTATCGGGTATACGCGCGCCCCACGCTTGGTATTGCTGGCGCACAAAAATATGGCTAAATATAAGAATTTCAAGTGCCGCGACTATTGAGGATTCCCTCTTGTTTCATGAACAAAATTGGCAAAAAGATAGATTGATAAAATGTTTAAATAAGTAAAAGTGATTTTTGTTAATATTTTATCAAGTAAAGTGACTCAAATCGATACGAATATTTAAAGAAGCATAAGATGTTTTTTTGTTTTTTTTTCTTGTTGTTAAAACGATTAAACAAATAAAAAGTTCTCTATTTCAAATTGTTTTGGAAAAAAAAAGTTAGAAAAACCCACCTTAACTCTATAGATAACAATAAAAAAAGTATTTTTTATTTCAGCCAACGTTTAGCCATTGCGGCCTATCGGAGCTAATAGTACAAGAACTTTTCTTGTAATACTAACCGTGATGAAGTCATAATGCGAAACGTTTTTTTTTTATTAGTATTGTTACGTCTCCGTTTGTTAATTGATTTTTTCCGTAACTTGGTTCCGACGAAACTTTAGCGACACAAGTCCTTTCTTAATAAAACTGGTTTATTCTTTCCGAATATAACTTTACGGTACACTTAATTTCAACAATCACGCTAAAACAAACGCTATAACGAACGTGCTCAACTTCAATAATACTCTCTGACTGCAGGAGATAATGTGTGTGTGTGAAGAGAGTGAGTAATTGAGTCACGTTGTCACCCTCTTTTATATACCAGGCTACCCTATATCTAGTAAATGCTAGAGCATTCGCCGAGGTACAGGATAGTTCTAGAAAGCAGAGGGCGTGAGAATAGTCACGTGATCTCGCTGACGCAACAAATGGCTAAAACCTGTTCCTGTTCCACATCAAACAAAATTTTCATTTTTACACCATTTCATGGCCTGGGAGTTAGGGCACTCGACTCGTAATCTGTGGGCTCGAATCCCCATCACCGAAAATACTAGCCCATTCAGCCGTGGGGGTGTTATAATGGGACGGTCAATCCTGCTATTCGTTGGTAAAAGAGTAGTTCGAGAGTTGGAGGTGAGTGTTGTTGACTAGATGCTTTTCATCTAGTATATCACCGCTAAATTAGGGATGGCAAGCGCAGATACCTTCGAGTAGCTTTGTGCAAAATTCAAACCAAACCATTTACACCATTTATATAAATATTTATTAATTGATCGATTAATTACTCGTTTTATGAAATTTCATTCTCAAAATTGTAAATTCTTTACAACACCTGTACACACATGAATACTGTTAAACACCAGTGGAGACATACTAGGTGCGTCCAAATATTTCATTACTTATGTTTAAAATATGTGACATACCACTGTTGCAATTTCGACAAGTTTGGTATGGTATTTCATTCTAATATCTCGTGATAGTTTATTTAAATTAATAGGATTAAGAAATTGCATTTGGTGTTATAGTTTTATTTTTGGTTTAACTTGTCTTTTTTTTTCTCTTTTAATTTTAATGTGTTTCATTTTAACTTACAAGAGGTTCAATTTTTGTTTATTTGTAGTTTAAGCAAAAAGCTACACAATGAGCTGTATATGATCTGCCCACCATGGTTATCGAAACTCGGTTTTTAGGGGGCAAATTAAACTAGTAAAAGAAACTATTTAAGGTTTTTCAAACATATCTTACGAATTCTACATATACACGAAACACACTTGCCCTTCTGTAGTATTCCATTATCTATTGTGTTTTGTTCTGTTTTTGTGTTTAATATAGATTGTTGAATTTGAATATTTGTATCTTGCAACTTTTTTGCATTACAAACTTGGTAGTGTGCAGGGAAAGCAAGCTCCGTAACTCGGTACCTTGAGTCTCTAGTTATTAGGCCCAAACTAACTACTCTGAGAGGTGGGAGTTTGAAAAATACAGAATTGATATATCACAGCTGGTGTTTCGTAAGAATGCTACTCATCGGTAGTTTTTAGCACTTGCGACCTCTACAGGTGATTGCATGAAAGAATAAAAATTCTCGTGTACAGACGAGACCCGACGCCATTATCGCGAAATCGTGAAGGTACGTGACCTCCAAAAATTAATGATTTTAGGCGCCTAACATGAATCATTGAATGGGAAGACTTCAGTTTTGTTGATCTAAATGATATAATAATGGTTTGTTAATTGAGATAGGTTGATTTTAGGAAATATTAGAATTTGTTACTTCATTTTATATCAAGCCTTCTTGCACATTTTTCTTTCTTTTGCAAATGCTTTTGAATTGGCCTTACAACAAACTTGTAATTTGTATTTATGTTGAACTTCTGAAGTTGTAACTTGTAATACTAATAATATTTATATTGTAATTTGTTTTGCTAACTTAAGTTAAGACCAAGAGTAAGACTAAGAGTGCTACTTCTACTAAGTTCTAGTACTACCTTTACCTAATAATAATACTATTAAAGTTATATTAATAGTAATATTATTATAAATACAACGATAATAATAATGGCACGTAAAAAGTAGTACTGGTAGTAAAACTAGTTATTAATATTAGTAATATTACTGTATAACTTATAAGTATATTGTTACTTTCATCTGAAACGTATATTATTATTATATTAAATACAAGTATTATACTGTGATCTATGCTGTGTTAGCCCTACAATTACATTACAAACCATAACTGAGTACTGAAAACCATGTTTCTTTTTTCTTAATTCACTACGAATATAAAATCTAACATAAAAAATACAGCATTGGCATCTCCCCTGCTTATATTGCAAACCAAAATAAAAATTTAAGCAGTATTCCACATCTTTAACAGTTGATAAATGGAAACAAAATGACTGCATTAATTCTGAGCTGGTTAAGAAAAATTGGGATGTATATAAAATGATAAGGCTCCTGGGCCAGATATTATTTCCCCAAGGGTTTTGAAGGAGGTTAAAGATTGGATATGTGAGCCACTTACTACTATTTTTGTCAGTCCTTGAATAGTGAGCAGGTACCAGGGGACTGTAAGTTAGCTAATGTAACTCCTCTTTTCAAGGGAGGTGATAAATATTGTCCCAGTAGCTATAGACCCATTAATCTTACATCACTTGTGGGAAAAATTTTGGAACGTCTTTTAAAAGATGCTTTGCAAAGTCATTTAACAAAGTTTAGAATTTTATTGGATAGTCAACATGGTTTCACTAAAGGAAAATTTTGACTTACAAATCTTTTAAGAGTCTTTGAAAGGTTACTAGTTATGTAGAAGAGGGTAAGGGTGCAGATTTGGTGTATCTGGATTTTCAGAAAGCATTTAACAAGGTGCCACATAAAAGGCTTGTAAAATAATTAGCTTTATAGCTATGGAGGATAAGTTAGCAAATTGGATAGAAGAGTGGCTGGATGGAAGAAAACAAAGAGTTGTTACAAATGGAGTTCAGTCAAACTGGATTAATGTTGGAAGTGGGGTACGTCAGGGCTCAGTCTTAGGACCTTTGCTCTTTTTGATTTACATCAATGACAGATGAAGGGATAGTCAATAAATTACTTAAATTTGCAGATGATATTAAAATCTTAGGTGTTGCTTCTGATTTACAAAAGGCTTTAGATCATTTAGTGAGTTGGACAAATAAATGACAGATGAGTTATAATTATAATAAATGCAAGATAATGCATGTGGGTTATCATAATTTGAATTATAAGCATAATTTGGATAGAAATAACCTTAATAGTGTTATGAAGGAAGGGGGTCTTGGTGTAATAGTTGATCAGTCTCTAAAGCCATCCAAGAAGTGTGCTGTTGCTAGTGGTAGGGCAAATAGGATTTTAGGTTGTATCTACAGAAATATTGAATACAAGTCTAAAGAGGTTTTACTTTCATGGCATAGGTCACGGGTTAGGCCACATCTGAAATATTGTGTTCAGTCTTGGACTTCTTACCTTAGGAAAGACATTGAATTGTTGGAAAGGGTTACTAGAATGGTGAATGGGATGGAGGGGTTGTCGTGTGACAAGAGGCTGAAATCTATCAAATTGTTTTCTTTTTAGAAAGTAGAAAAGTTAGGGGGGATCAGATTGAGGTGATTAAGATTGTAAAGGGAATTGATAGTGTTGATATTTCATTTTGTTTTTCATATTTAACCATGAGAATAGTAGGGACAGAAATATAAATTTTGTCAAGGTAGGAGTCATCTTCAGCTAAAATGGTTTCACTTTTGTAACAGGGTGGTTGATCTTTTGATTGGGTTGCCTTTGGATGTTGCAGAGGCAGTAAATTAAAGTGAGTTTCAGAAAAAGCTTGTTAAATATTTGAATGATAAGGGCTGGCTTTAAGATTTATTTTTATTTTTTTAAATTTAGTTTAGAGGATGGAACAGCCAAGATGGACCAATATGTCTCATGTTGTCCCAGAACATTATGTTGTTATTTTGAATGAAATATGTGTGTTTTGGCTATATATTTATATGAAGGGCTCAAGTATGTTTTGACTTCAAAAATGCTCAAACTACCTTTTATTTTGAAATTAAATATTTCATTTGCGGCCCTGATGTTAGACATTACCATAATCATATGCCCGGCTTATTAAACATGAATAAATATAAAATGTTTTGCATACCATATTTAATATTAAAAGGAACTATTTTAACACATACTTTTTTAGCAAAAACAAATACTTGAACCTTTTGTTTAATTATAAAGTTAAAATATCTTGAACAGATCATATATCAGTGCTATAAATAATTGATAAGTATCATGGTGAATGGTAAAGCATAAATGTTGGTTCTTACGCTGCTTGTAGGGTTATTAGTATTGTAAATAGTTGATACTATTCAGGAACTTTTGTGATAATAAGTAACTTATAGCGTCATATTGAGTGTCAGTACTGATTATTAAATATTACTACATACAACAGTTCTTGAGTTGAAATTTTTTATAGATTAATTGAACTTGTTTTAGACCATTTTTCAAGAAGTATAAGAACTTTTGTTCATCATTATACACTGAAAGTATATTTTTATGGGTGAGAACAAGCAGTAAAAGCTGATTCAGTGGTTATCTGTTAATTTGTATTAGTAGTTAGGAAGGATGCATAAAATATGTCTATTATTAACTGTTGCCTGGCTTGGTCCACCTTCCCCAAAGGACAAAATTGTAACTGAATTTAAAAACAACTTCTAGGTTTGTTTATTTTATTCTCTGAATGACAACTTTTTCAATTGCAAATTTTGATTTTGTGTAAATTTCGGTGCACTCTGAACCAAAATATTAGTGTTAGAGTTTTTTCTGAATATTTTAGCCACAGCATAGCGGTTGATAGAGTGGCTCAGAGTTTTTCAAGTACAAACTTTTAGCTTATAGCTCCATCATCTCATGACAGATTTGAGATCTAATTACAGTTTTGGACTCAGAAGGTCAAATCCTTTCAAATTATATATTTGACCATGCTCAAAGTCTTTAGATTAATTTACTCTAATTCTGCCTAAAAGAATTTCAGATTGAGGGTAGGCTGGTAGAGATCCTAATGAGGTATAAAATCAGGTATACACGTGCCCCCCATGCTATAGCTAATAAAAAGGTAAAAAATATCTCGTAGATTAATTTACTCTAATCCTGTCTAAAGTAATTTCAAGTGCCAAGGCTATTGAGTGTTCCCTCTTCTTTCGTAACCCTCTTAGTATGAAAGTTGAAACAGTTTTGGACAAAATATCATAAAAAATGACAAAGCAGCTCAAATAAGTCCCAGTACTAGTACTGCCAGAACTTCACCCCTGGTTTTCTGCACATTATATTTACATATATATCATGAATTGACGAAGATCTGTGGTTGATGCATAGATCAAAGGGCAAATATTATAAATAGGTCATTTATTTATTGAGCAAATTTAGAGACCCATTTAGTGAATAACTCTTAGTCAGTATGAGTCAAACTCAAAGACGTTTGGAAATTGCATCTGAGAATAAGGTTAGCGTCTAAAATTATAATGTCTATCAATGTGGGTTTATTAACTAACCTCCTATGAGGTACTTTATCAAAAGCTTTTCCAAAATCAAAGTATACCAAGTGTATCTTTTCCATTGTCATGATAATAAGTAACATCCTTAAAAGCTAACAGATAAGTAAATCAGGATTTCCCTTTAATGAATCCATCTTGATTTTCTTGTATGATATATTTAACTAAATAATTTTCCAAAGGTTCTTTTATCAGACTAGAATTTTCCCACTACAGAAGTAAGAATGACTAATTAGCCTGAAGAAATTTTTATTACATCCTTTAAAAATAGGAATAACAGAAGCAAGCTTCCAATCCTTAGGCACCCCCATACTGTAGATTAATATACAAAAAAGTGAAAGAGAGTACTTGTATATCATCTTTAAAAATAAAACACCAGAATCAGATAAGGTTTTCTCCGTGGTTTCAAAAAAGATTCAATCTGTTTTTCTAATTATCACAATTCAGACCAATTCCAATATTTCCCTTATAATGCTTAAGGTAAAGAAAGTATTACTACTATCTTGTCTTATAAAAGAAAAACAGAAAAAAAAACATTTAAAAGCTTTATCATTATCCTTTAACGGTCTAATCCTTGCTGTTAATTTTAACATTATCAGCCATCTGTTTCTCATAAGCCTTTTTTATTTCTTAATTTCTTTTTTTAACCAAAACTCCAGCTTTCCTATAGTTCTGTAAATCTTCCAAGATCTGTCAGTTTAAACCTATTGCATTTACTTTCACCTTTATGGCTTTAGTAAGCCAGTTAGGTCTTGATCATTCCTGTTTTCCTTTTTCTCTTTATAGGAAAATGCTTACATTGAATTAAAAACAGCATTTTTAAAATGTACCAAGTTTGTCTTGCATTACGTCTTACTTCAATATCACTGTTCTTGTTTCGTGGATTCAGAACTGGCTTTCTGAAAACTAGGAATTTGTGCAACAAAAAATCAAAATAATTTTGAAATTATCATTATTCCAAAAGTATTCCCCTAATCCAACTCTTGTAGACATATCCTTATTATTGGTTAACATTTAATATAAAGTTGCATCCCCCCTGGTTGACTCTCTATATGTATAGAATGCTATCATGGATAAAAAAAAACTCTTCCTTACTATTCGATTCCATACACTCTTAATAAATGAGTATAAAATTAAAGTATTTCATAATTATTGCATCAGTATTGTTTAGTAACAACTCTGATTTCATATATACAATTTATAAATGATTTTGTCTCTCTGATCAGGTTTTCTATAACAATTGCTAGTTAAGAACTTTCTACCTTTGAAACCCCTTATTGTAACCCACATAGATTCAACCTCTTGACTACCATTTTTTATGTCTTAATTTCCAATAGGCTGTAGGTTAACTCTTGTATAAAGAACTATCCCACCACCTCTTTTAAGAAGTTTATCACTTATAACCTGAAATTTCATAAGAAACAAGGTGTCAAAAGATTATTTGAACTTTTCTAGATAATCCTTCACCCATCAAACATCAAAACTGAATAAAAGGTAAATTTTTACATTCAAATACCTATCAAAAAAAAAGAGCAACTGTTCAAGTTCATTTAGCTATCGAAAGAGAAGATTTAAAAAGTTCAAACTAATTTCACAAACTATGTCATAAGGCAAGCCATTCCACATGTTTATATAGGTTATCAGACCTTAATATTAACTCTAAATTTCAAGTTCGTACTTCTAACATTTTCGTTTTGCCATTTATGAAAAGTCTGTCCATGCTCCTAGTAATTTTGAATGCTTGAATCAAGTTACTTCTAATTCTTTTCTTCAGAGAAAAATTCATATCTTTTAAATACTCTTCTAAGCTTAAGTTTCTAAAACCTATATCATCCTAAATGTATGTGCAATCTTTCCAAACTACTTGTATCAACTGTAATATTTGAGACTTTGAAGTCCAATATAAATTGAATGTTGTATATTTTTGATACATGGAGCTCTATATTTGCTATACCCTTTATTAAAGCCTATTTTCATTTATATTGACTTTAGTTTTGTTTCTTTTGGTTGCTTTAGAATGTCTGGCGAACAGGATGTAATTGTCAGAGAATGTAAGAGAGTAGAGTCTTATAGTGGTAAGTATTCACATTTTTGTGAATTTCATACTGAAGATGAATTACATTGTTTGTTTTTATGTGGTGATAAAAGTTCCTTTCATTTCTTTGTTACTGGTTACTTGTTGATATTAATAGAAATGCTATGTGTTAGGAATTTTAATATTGGGTGTTATGATGAAAAAAAGTTTGCTTTTTCTAGTGTGTGAGAACAGTTGCATTCTAATTTTTCTCTAACAAATGGTTTTCATACATACTTGTCCCTACAACTGCATTAAAGATTCTTAAATTCTAAATCTTGATCATGCTGTTTGTATGAATAATTGTATGTGACTTTGAAATGTGAGAATACTGTCAACTGATCTCAAAATTATAATTATTTTAAAAACTTGCTGTACTATATCTGATAAGCTGTAGCTACAGTTTCATCAGGAATGTAGAAAGGTGAATATCAGTTAATAGCAAACACAAAATTGTATAACATCATTTAAGAGCATTTCTTTATTTAAGATATGTCATAACTACACACATAAGGTAAAGAAAGAATCTTAGAATCACATAAATATCCCATGTTTAGGGTTAGGCTAAGGTTTTAGTGCAGTATCCCACAATCCTTAAATACCTTATATCAACAAATCTACATAAACTAATTCAAGGGAGGGAAACTATGACTCATACCAAGTTTTTGTACTATGTAACCATTGTCTGAATTAGAAGATTAATGCAAGTTTACAACCCTCAAACCTCTGATTTACAAAGGTTATGCTAACTATATGCAGAACACGTAAAAAAAATTAAAATTATCTGAATAAATATAGTATTTACGAAAAGAGTTCACATATGAAAATCTTGGAAAGTCATGGAATTTTATAAGAAAAACAAAATCAGTACTATAAATCCTGGAAAAAATCAGTTATTTTTATCAGGAGGTCCTGATAAAGTCATTGAAAGCCTATTCCCATTCCTTCCACATCCTGTCTTTCAGAAATTTCCAATAGCTCTCGTTAACATTTAATACTATATTATTTATAACTAATATTATTATAAAAGTAACTAAAATATAAAAATTTTAAACATTTTAGGTTAGATTAGGTAAAATAAATAATAATAATAATAAATTTTCATGAGGTATGCTCATGAACAACTTACAAGTAGCTCATGCATTACATAATTTGATAGGTTAATGTGAGCTACATGTTTGCCAACTGATTTATAACTTATATGGTGCAAATAGACATGGTTCAAAGGACAGTAAAACAATAAAATTTAAGTATAATCAGATATATACTGTTACAAGTTTAAAGTTGTTTAGGATAAATGTAGTTTCTAGTTACAATTTGAAGTCAGTATAGAAAGAGAAAGGGTATTTTAGATTTATTTGAATTTCTGGTCAAATTGAACAACCTCGTATAGAGTTAGGGTAGAGAAAATGAAAGATAAAATATAAAGTTTTACAGAGAAAAAACAAACTTATTTAGGATGTTTTAGGTATTACAGAAATGAAATTTGATATTTTTCAGATGAAGAAAGTATTTTCAATCTTAAAATCAGAATCATTCTACATTCAGAGTAGTCAACAATTTGACTCCATGTATTCATGGAGAAATTTTTAGTGAAAATACTTCATTAAAAATTCTGATCTTTTGTCTACGGATGATTCTTGATGATTACTGGACGGTTATGAAATTTTGTGAAGGTATATAAAACGTATTAGAAGTTATAGTATAGAAACTATAAAGGTCAATTTGGTGTCCCAAACTCAGCTGATTCAACCAAGTTCATAGCAAGAAAGTTAATCTGAATGTAAAGAGCTTTTTTATTCTGGCTTGACACATATCAGGTGTCAGAAACAATAATACTTAATGATTCCTACCGTTATATGACACATTATATTAAATGATCACAAAACCAGATCAAGATAGACCTGTATGAACGACACTTAGATGCTTTGTTCTTATTGGCTGGCCATATAGCAGATGTTTTGGACACAAACACAGTTTTTGTATTTTTTGTAAAAGAGTTTTAGTGCTTATTACAATTCAAAAGACTATTTGTTTAAGTTACTATTTATCAAAATAAAGACTACATTTTAAAAATTGTATATTCTGAGATTATACCTCACCTCCTGACACAGAATAGCTTCATTTCTTGTGCGTCTGACTATGAGATTTGCATGTCAATAGCTTTGAGCTAACTCCCACCTAAAATCATGTGTTTAACATGAACTGCACTAGTGCATTATGACATTATCATGTGGTGATATCCTTCAACCAATAGGAGGGTGACAATCTCTATATGCAATAACTACCATTAACGCTATCATTTCCACCAGTACATTTACAGTAATGGAAAAACTCTTCCATGGATGATAAAAAGTTAAGCACTTGTGCTCAAAAAAACTTCATTCTTTTCCTTGACATTGTTTACAATGAATATTTTTAAACTTTTTACTTAATTACCTGAGATTTGTGGTATCTTACAAAACTTAAAGTTTGTTAATATTCACCTGGTTTCTTTTATTACTACTGAATATGTAAATGGAAAGTAATTATTTTTTCCTACTTACCCATTATGAATTGTCAAGTGATGGTAATTTCTGCTTTGTTCTATGTTAGTGACATTATTCCTAGCATGGAATCTGTGTCAATAGAGGCTACTGGGGACTCGTTGTTTGTGATGGACGTGTTTCAGCCATTGTTCCAGGAACACTGGGCCTCCCCTTGTCATCCATATGGCCGACAATACTCTCCCCATATTGAACATAATCAGGAAGATGATGATTTGGTAGGCTATTCCCCCACCAGGGTTTGTTTTTGGTACAGCTTTACCTGTTATGGAACGTCCTCACTCTTCAAATATCTTCCTTGACATGGTTTCATAGGTATTGTCTCTTCTTTCTCTTTGTCTTTTGCTTCCTTCAGTGTTTTCATATGTGATACCCATACTCCAAACTACTTTTTTTCCCTTCTGCACGTAATATTAGGATCCACACTGGCTGATTTCTTATTCTACTGGACACTCGTATTAATGCGCCTCGTCCTTCTAGTCTGCTTGACTATTTTGTTCCGATTTTCAGATGCTGTTCATTTACATTCCTCAATTCCAAGTCTTTAATATATCTTTTATCTGCTTGGAGGTGGACCCATTAACTTCTATTCTCCTTTCTTGTGCCCAATTTTACCACTTTTGTCTCTTTTTTTTTTCACTATCCTCATGTTTTGCATCTTACCACTTCCCCTTATGTCTGAGTCACTTCTGAGTGCTTTGGAGGAGTTCTCTTCTTTTCACCACATTCACTCACACTACTTCTACTCCTTCCCTCCTTATTAGTTTCCTCTGCTGTTAGGACGGGATACTCTCCTAACTAATGTACATCTCTCTCACACTTTTATATGTGTTCTTTATTGGGCCTCGTTTCTTAGTCCAGGAGTTTTTTGTGGTGTTCCTGACTCAATGAGAACCCAGACTGTTGGGACCCAGCATTAGTCCTCATTGTTTACAACAGTTTCTAATCTTTCTCTACTTTGCATTTCTGTTCCTTTTCTTTGGCTTTCTGAAATTGTCTCTCACTTTCCCATCCTTCCACTGACCATTCTCAGGGTTGTCATTTTTTGTTGGTGACTACCCTATCAGATCTAACCCTGCGGTCTCCAATTTTGTCTGATGGATGGCTTATTCAGATTATCACCTGCAGCCTATTTCTTCTCTTTTTCCCCCACCCTTTTTTTCCTCCTCCCTCCATTTTCCTTTATGTTCATTGGCTTGTAGATGTAGTCTCTTGCCCAAGAAAGCCATCCTAAAAGTATTTATCCCTATACCTGGTTAATGCTCTCATCTTTCAGTTCTGTGTTCTTTCTTCTTTAGCTTTGCATCTGCTTCTTCTATCTTTACAGGAATCATGGGAGCATTTGCTCTCCTTATTTTTGGGTTGGGGCTGAGTTTCCATTTTACTTCAAACAATTGCTTCTCTTTTCTCCCTCTTGTACCACTCATTCATTATGGTTGTGGATGTTACATATCCAGTTGGACCTTTCTTGGGATCCGTTGTCCCTGATTTTGCACCTCCCTTCCCCTCTTCTCAACTTTTTATCTTCATGGCTCGACTGTGCAAACTCTGCAGTAGACATCCCCTTGTCATAGCCGATCAGAACTCTCTCTCCTTATTGATGCTTCTCTGTTAGGCTGGGGGATGCCTCTTTGAACAACTACATAACTCTGAGTATGTAGGCACCAGGGGAACATTCAATCTACTTCTATTTCCTTGCCCCTCTCATCAGACATTTTCCCATTTCTTCTATCTTCTTGTGGATTGATTGGTCATGATCCACTCCCACAATTCCATGATCATTTTTTGTCAATCGTCAAGGGGGGCTACCTGTTCCTAAACTCTTTGCTTCTGTGCTGTGGACCTGCTATTTTGGGCTTATTCCCATTGGATTCATCTCATGGCTAATCATATGCCTGGGGCCCTGAACTTTGTAAGTGTTTGCCCCTCTCAGCCAAACAACGTCAAGGTTCTAACCACACAGTGGTCTCTCAACCTTCAGGTTTTCTTGTTAGGGCATACCTCTTATAAATAAATGCCTTCACCACTCTCAGCACCATACCTTCCCTCTTCTGGTCTCCAGTTCCTTATCTGTTAGCCAATGTTTATAGCTTTGACTGTTCTCACCTTTTTCTGTATGCCTATCCTCCTTGTCTCCTTGCTTCCATTCTTGACAATCCTTTTTGTGTCCTGTAGGTGGTATCTCTTTGATCAGTATAGCCCTTATTTCCTCTTCTCCATTAATTGATGTCCAAGCCTCCTATTTCCCCTTCCTCATTCCAATTCTCTTGCTCCTATCATGTTTCTTTATCTCTTCTACTGAAGTGTTGGGTTCTTTGACATTGGTTTCTCTACTTCTCCTTTATTCCAGGCCATCCTACCATGGCGTATCTTTTTTTGGCCTTTGTCATATGGTGTGGACCTGGATTGCTTGTTCCCCTATTACTGCATTGTAGGTTGCTTTATCTTCTATATTTTAATCTTCCTCACTGTTTGTTTTTTCATCTCCTGTCCTCTCCACTTTGTTCTGATCCTTTCTTCTTCATGACCCTCTCATCCTACTTACATGCTTGACTGGGACTTTGATGTGGTTTTACATGCTCTTCCACAGGCATCATTTGAGCTTTCATGTTTATTATTATATCTTTCTCTGGAAATATATTTTCTTCTCCTTCTCGTCAATGGCCACTATTGTTCGCATGTATATGCTATCCATGCTTCCTGCACACTTTCTTCATATTTACTTCCTGCTTTATCCCAACCAGACCTTTCTTCCTATTGTTCTTTCACATTTTGTCAAAACATCAGATTCTTCAACTGTCTCACTTTCTTGAATCTTGTTTTCACTGATCCTTGGACAAGATCCTTCAGTCTAGCATGTGGATGAACCCACACACATCTGTCTCCCTTTATCTTCATCATCTGGCTGTTTTGTCTCTTGCAGGATTTTGACTTCCTCTAGTGAGGGTTCTTCCATATCACTACATGCCATATTTAAGAAGGATATATAAATATTTCTTTTAAGTGTCATTTTGAATCATAACAGGTGGATAGTGTTGTCTCCCACAGTGTGCTTTTCCTCCAAATCTACATAAGGCCAGGTGTAATGGAAAGTGCTCAACCCATCTGCCCTGGCTCTGGCAGTGGCCACTGTTGAGATTGGGTATTCCACAAGATCACTAGAGCTATCCTTGTGGTAATCATACTATTCAATTGCCCAATCCTGAATGTACCATTCCATGGACTATAATGAGAAAAGCCAACAACAGGGAAAGAGTCTGCACACTTTTTTGGCAAGTTCTTGCCAGCTTTTAAAAATAGGGTTTCACAGTCACCCATTGCACTCTCTCCAGACCTTTTAGGCAGATGTCTTATATAGATCTGGGTACTTCTCATGTCTTCCCAATGTGAATTCTCCCCCCCCCCTTCTTTAAGTTGAGCATGAGAGATCCTTGCCCCTTACCAGTTCCTAGCTGCTGGAGTGGTGGACCTTAAAAGAGTTCCTCACCATTGTGCACAGAACCAGTGTGAAGTAAGATGGTGGTGACACTATCTGTGTAATGCAGGTCACCCCTCAAAGAGCTTATGTACTCTCCTCCTGCAGCAAGAGACTATCCATTTGAGACAAGGTGAGCACACACCATTTGGTCTGATTTCAACTTAACCACACTACACTTCTTAGGTTGTCGACTGCTTGTGTGCAGGAGCTTGGTTAGTCATGATCTAATTCCTCCCATCCCTATGCAACTTCAGGCACTTTTTCCTTTCCCTCAGTTTCCTTCTGGATGAAAAGTATATTCTGGTTTAGACAAGATGCAGCCTCCCACATGTGTGCCCCCGTGGAGACTCTGCCACTTGTGTCACACTCCATAGGCTTTCCCTTTGGGAGCTTTCTGAAGAGAGCTCATCTAAGTTTAATTTTTTGCACCAGCCTCACCACCACTTCAGTGTGAGAATCTGGCTATTCTGTGTGAAAAGGTTAGGTATCATCTTTGAAGTTAACATTTTCCTTACATGAAAATGTATTTCTGATAGATACCTTCCCACCCATTCTCCCCACTTCTGGTGCATTTTCTTCTTAACTTAAGGAGAGTTACTACACAGGGAAGTTGTGTTGCCCTCCTATTAGTGGAGGGCTACCATTGCATGATGATATCATCATACACTAGCACAATTCATGATAAACACGTGATTTTTAAGTGGGAGTTAGTTTAAGGCTCGTGGCATGAAAATCTCATAAACAGATGTGTAAATAAACAAGAAGGAATCCTCAATAGCCACAGCACTTAATTCTTTTTGGCAAGATTAGAGTAAATTAATCTGTGAGACATTTTTCTCTTTTTATTAGCTATGCTTATGTGCATCAGCAATAAAAACCATGGGATGTATGTATACCCGATTCGATTTTATTACTTATCAAGATCTCCACCAGCATACCATAAAATTTAAATTCTTTTATGCAGGATTAGAATAAATTAATCTATGAGACTTTGGACATGGTCAAATACATCAATCGAAAGGATTTGACTTCCTGAGTGTAAAACTATAATTAGATCTCAAATTGGTCAAGATATGACAGAGCTATGAGCTTAAAGTTTGTACTTGAAAAACTCTGAGCCATTCTAAGAGTCGTGGCTAAAGATCTATTCTGTGTGAAAAGGTATCTATCAGAAATACATTTTCAGGTGAGGAAAATGTTAACTTCAACATTTGTGCTGACATTCTATCTCAGAAAATTTATGATAACATCAAAATGAGTAAAAATGGTGCTTAATACACTTCTCCAACATCTATGGTGCTCCAATATATGTATATATAATATGCATTATTTTGGACTTTTGTCAAATTTCTCAAATTAATGCTTGCCACAATTATTACCCAAAGAAAAGAGTCCATGCTGTAATTCGTTAAAAGCTGAATAACTTGCTGGTTAAGTAACAACATTCTTCAAAAGAGCTAATTTTAGTATTAATAAAGCTTATTTTGAATATGAGAAAATAAGATTTGCCTTTTCTCTGTTTATTTTTTAAGCAAACTGTACCGAAGAATCAGTTTCTTCATCCAATGTGTTATTTACAAACCAACAAGAAACCAATTCTAGCACCCATCAAGCTCTTCAAGTCTTTACCATTGATAAGAATTTCCTTGTGTCTCAGTTGGAAAATGGAGAACTTTGCGCAGCTGATGGAACAATTTTAAGGCTTCATGGTCCTCTACAAATTGATGAAGCAATTGCCATTGATCAAGACCACTTGGAAGGTCATGAACCTAGTCACATTCAGCAGACCAGCTTTGTACTGGATGCAGAGACGACAGACTCTGTACAGGTATGCACCTTATCTGGTTAGATAAAATTGGGAGAAAAAATTTGTGATTGTCAGTAGAAACGGAATGCTTATTTTTTTCTCTTTTTGTTTTGAAATGTAGGTAGTATTCATCCCTGTGTTCGGACAAAGTTACGACTGTGAAAATTAAGGTTTAAATTTTGAAAGTTAGCAAAATATTGAAAAACCAATAGGCTTGAAAATTATTATAACAAATTAACTGAATTTTTTTTTTATTATTATTTATTTGCATTCCTCTTAACTAATCAGTTGTGTCAGGAAATCAGAGATGTGTAAAAAATAGCATTTAACATCTGTCTTTTGTCTCCCACACGTTGCTGAACTTATTATTTAGACTGGCTTATGAGATATAAAAGATTCTGTGAAATTCTATTTATATATACAGTGTAATACTTTAAAAGTTATGGTTTAATTACTGAAATATTGGAGAACCAGTAGATCTTAAAAGTGTTATAAAAACAAGCTAATTACAGATTTTTTTTGTTGGTTTTTTCAATTTTTCTCTAAATTTGTCCATTGCGGCTCTAAAATATTGATTATCACTAGAAGTTTAAAACTTTTTTTTTAGATCAAGTAAGACTACTTTTTCTGTATACTTTAACATACAATTATGCATTGAGATGTAAGCAGTCACTAATCATCTGTTAAGACAGGAAGTATTGACAAAAATGTTGCTTCTTAGGAGAAGGTTTCACAATTCCTTCAAACAGAAGTGTCAACCATTTCTATTTTGGTGGAATTACTCTAGTTTTTAGCTCCAAGTTATGCTATTAAAGTCGTACCTTTTAAATTCAACTTTATTCACAAACAAGTGCGTTTGTGTGGCATAACTAACACAATCTGCTCAATGCTCAACAAAACCATTGAGATTGTAGTCATTTAAGTGTTTGTATTTCTGCATCTGTATTTAAACCAGACTCAAAGGTTTTCATAATACTGAATATCAGCCAATCAGAAATCATATTGGTAGTTAGTCAATTCAAAATTGGAACAGCTGTATTATTTTCATCAGAATGATGCCAAAATAATAGCCAGCTAACCAAAAATGTTTATCTGAAAAACATGGGAAAGAGTTGCATATTGGCACACCACCCTCACAACAAAAAAATAGACAAAAGAATCTCAGGTAGGTTTACTACTTAAAATGATACTTGTAAAGTAAAGTAAGGGTCAAAATAAGAAGAAAAAATCAATCACAATTATATCAGAAGAATAGATTGTGACTCAGTGCAAAACCTCAAAATACCATGAAAACAAAGAAACAAAACTATAAAAGGACAAATGTCAGGGGACCTTAATTCCTAAGCATTGCCCATAAAGTAAGCTAAAAAATCAAACAAACAAATATGTTAATAGTAAAAGATAGAGTCCCAATACAGAACTTTTGCAAAGCATAGGTGTTACTGAAAATTATATGTGGATATACTACAGAATATTCATGCATTAATTATCCAAAATAAGTGGATTTCAGTATCACTTATAGCAAGAAAATGACTCCAGAAATTAATTCAATTAACCCCATTTTTTTACTTAGATTCTGATTTTTTTTTAGGTTGGCACTTTTATGTTACATGAATTAGCGATGGCATCTCTGCTTCATAGTTGGAACAACCATATATGTTAAAACTCAGTGTTGTGTGTAGTAGGCAAACTATTAACCACCAGTTTTTTGTTTATTTCATTATATGTGTAAATGTGAAATACAGTTAAATTAAAACTTGATTTCTGTATTACACAGGCAGTATTGGCTTCTGTGCAGCAAGCATTACTGCATCGTTTGGATCAACTAGAAAAGAAAGTTAATGATGTTGATGTTTGGTGTGAATCTCTCTCGAGAAGAGTTGACAATGTTATTGCTTCTGTAAAGGTGTCTGGACCATTAAACAGAGTGGCTATAGCACGCAAGAACAAGTAAATTTTCTTGATATGTTTCCTAAATGTGTTAAAGTATCTTCTTTTTGCAACAGAATTTTCAAAAATTTTAAGTTTTATTTGTATGTGTAATTTATTATTCAGAAGTTAATATATTGGAAAAATTACAGTTAGAAATAAATCCACATTTTACTGGTTAATGTGGGTGGTGGTGGAAACTCATTGATTTTACAGTAAGCAAATAAACATGGTTTGAATTTGTAAAATAAACAAAACTTTAATGGAACATATGAATATGTATATACATTCTACAAATCCTCAAAATCTTAAATCACTTCTAATTTCTTGAGGTTGGAGATTATAAATCTTCCTTCGTAATATATAAAACAAGTTTTGTTTTAACTTTGTTAGAAATATCAATTCTGTAATCCAAACACATCAGTAAATGAAACATTGACTTATGTATATAGATGTGTACAGATGTTGGAACTTTGTGAACCATGTCAATCTTGTCTAAATTTGTTACTATGTTAGAGAAAAGTAGAGGTACTAACAAAGATGATTTTTGTACTGGCCAACAGTGTACCTGGGCTACTTTATTTTAGGATTTTGTCTGAGCAGGGGAAAGAGAAAAACCCTAAAATAAGGCATATCTTATATATATATATATATATATATATATATATATATACACACACACACACACACACACGTAGTAGTGTCGCGTACTACTAACTAACCTAATTAAGTT